GCGTATATCGATACCGAACTGATAATGTCGGTAACCTCAAAATCCAAAACCGATACCGAACCGATTAAGTCGGTTACCGAAAAAGTCGATTCGGTTTCGGTTTTATATCAAAAAAAAAAAAAAACTTCTAGTGTTTACTTTTCTCGTCATTTTGGTACTTTTCTCACTTCTTAGCAATTAAATATACACAAAAGACTCACAGATTCATTGAAGGATTAAAGAGTTAAATTTAATATATAGAAGTTAGTTTAAATATAGTTAGATTCTGGTTTTTGTGTTAAACGCGAGTAATAAAATAATCCATTGTTGAACATCCAAAAAATAAAATTTGTGGTACAACTTCAACTAACTAACTGTATAAATTCGATGAATAGGAAATGTTGTACGCGTATCTCAGTAACAGTGGTACGAGAAAAAACTACAGTTACATTACCATCTTCCATAGAAGGAGTGAGACTGGTAAACCGACATTTGTTCTGGTGAGAAGGTGAATGAGGAGATGGGTAGTGGTATTTTTCTCGTCACTTTGGGGTTTAGATAGGGTTGAGTCTATATTTTAATTTTTAAACACTAAACACTAAACAATTAATCCTTGTTTTAATATTTACAAAAAAAAATCATTGTTCTAATTTTATTTTACCCTTATCGGTTCGGTATCGGTTTTACCGAACCCTTATGGGTTCAAAGCCGATACCGAACCGATAGTGATTCGGTAACCGACAATCAGTTACCGTTACAAGCGGTTCGGTATGGTTCGGTTTATTTTCTCGTCGGTACGGTACAGTTCGGTTCGGTTCGATTTTCGGTTTTTGATTTTCGGTTAATAAATGCCAGCCCTAATCCTCTTTGTGAATAAAAGACTTGTGCAAAAGGTAAAAAAGTCCAACTAATATCAACTTTTTTTTAGAAGGATCAATAGTGTTCCCACTTCCCCTCCTCGGTGACTCGAACCCATGACCTATCAGTCATAGGTGAAACGTCTTACCACTAAGCTGCACTTCATTGTCACGTCAATGATGCAAGTTAAGTTATCCTCTTTATGAAATAAAAGACTTGTGAAACAAGAAAAATAAAGTTAAGTGATGGCATGGTAATATACATCTCATTTATATTGATGCTGACTATGACAATATTTTATATTATATGTTGGTCATGTTTGGCTATTAACTAATAGAAGATTGAGGATAATTTATTGTCTTAGCAAATAACTCTTAACGAATTGTAATAACTGATTTGACTAATAGAGTGTATTAGCGGTTTTCAAACGAGTGCTCGGTAAATAGCGGTTCTTATAGCTTTATGTTGCCATGTTATTTTATGAAACCTCTATATTCAAAATGCGGTTTTGTTGATCTTTTTAATAGTTAACGTTTTGGGCCCAAAAAGTTACACAAATAAGCATTTTACCACACAACTAGTACGCAGTTTGTGCGATGCATGAGATAATAATGATAAACTGTATAAATTAAAGCAATGAAGGAATATAGATCAGCATAAAAATATTTTTAAATATTAATATTGACTTTTGTCTTTTACTTTATTTATATGATACATAATAGTTTAATATATGATTTATATATGTATTTCACTCATTATAAGATAGTAGTAATTTCAGTATTTGTGTTTAGAATTTAAAAAAATAAAAATTTAACATATTCAAACATTACCATAAAATAGTACTTGAAAAAATACTTCTCTCTCTTCCTTTACTCATACTTTATTACAAAATATTGTTTCGACTCTCAAATAAATGATGATGGTAAAATTGAATTGTGGCAAATATGATAAACCGACACTTAGATTAAAAAGACTGCAGTGTATATTATTTTAAAGTTGTAAAATTTATTAATTTTAATTATGTTAATTTCTATTATAATTTATAATAATGTATATTTGAAAAAAATTGAGTTTTCATTTTAATCAATAATTCACAAAGTTGTTTAATACCAAACGATTTACAACATTGTAAATATTTTTGTCTACTATAACAATTTACATTTTGTTTGACAGATAACTCTAATTTATAACAATATATATTATAAGTAATTTTATTTTTCTTTCTAAATTAATAATCTACATGGACAATTCGATAGACAGACAATGATTCGTTTGTTGGTAATCACAATTTATAACAATATATATTCCAAATATATTTATTTTTCTTTCTAAGTTTTAATGTGTATTTCACCTGTCATAAAATAGTTATCATAGTTATCATTTTAGAGTTCCTGATTAATAATATTATTAACGAACATGAAAATTTAACATATTAAAATTTAACATTATATAATGCTCAGAAAAATATTTTTCCCTTTTTTCCCTTCCTCACTTTATCACAATATATTATGTTGATTCCGAAGTAAATAATGGTGTAAATAATGGTACGACTAAAAAATTATGGTAAGTATTATAAACTAACACTTAATTTGATAATAATATTATATATTACTGTGAACTTATAATATTTACTAATTTTTTATTACGAATTTAACAAAGGTATTTAATTTTTTGTATATAATAAATATTGTTTCTTTATTTTTTAATTAATATTAAATAATAAATTTAAGTTCATTTTATAAATGCAATATTAAATAATGAACTTATAAATACTTTATAAGTAATTATTTTTTATTTCCACATACAATATGAATGTCAAAACAAAATATTGAAAAATAAAGGCTAATTTAATCTATAACCATGTCGAGCATCTTTTCTCCAAGAATAGGAATACACGAGCTTTAAAGTAATTATTTTTTATTTCAACATACAATATGAGTGTCAAAACAAAAGATTGAAAAATAAAGGCTAATTTAATCAATAACCATGTCCCTTAATTTATATTTTTCAAATCAAATAAAAATCTAGATTAAAATAATTCCTTGTAAATTTTTAAAAAGTTTAGTACAAAATTATTGATCAACACTAAAATAATGATTACGTAGAAATAAAATAATTGATTGAAAACTTGTGGACAATTTAACAAATAGATTTAGATAAAATTATTTAAAAATAAAAATTAAAGTCTCCCGACAAGAAAAATTAGCAAAAGAAAATTTATCTATATCTATATCTATATCTATATCTATATCTGTATAATGGACCAATCTTTATTGCCATAATTGGCATGATTTGGAGCGAGAAATTTTTTCGTCTATATTTGACATTTAATTAATATTTATTCATTAGCAAATCTTATACATGAAAAATATAATTAATTTTTATACACTCAATTACTATTACTCAATAACTACAAATTGGCTTAAATTAAAATTTTGACGTAGATTTATTATATATCGTTTCAATAAGACTTTATATTAATTTAATAGTAATTTATTGACACAATTCAAAAAATTATTATGGAAATTATTTGATTAAATATATTATCATCTGTTGTAGGTATTAATTTAATTAATTATATTCACTATTCAGAAATAATTAAAAATATTTAATAAAATAATCAGAATAACTATGTTTAAATCATAATAACTTAATAAATAATTTTAAATATTAATAAAAGTTTCTAAAATGTAGTAAATTTAATTATAAAAAGGTACATCCCCATTGAATATATCATATGCAGTGATAATACTATTGAAAATTTAAATAATATACTAATAAAAATAAAATTTGATGGTTGGATGCAATTCAGAATGATATATTTCATCTTAGAAGTATCTATGTACATTTAAAAACTATTCAATTTTTAAAAATATATTTTTTTTTCTTATATACTATTTTCTAAATGAAAAATAAGTTAATAAAAAAGCAATGTATAATAATTTAAATTATAGCACTTGGTAATTATGGAAATATATAATATATCTAATTATTCGAATAGATACTATGTAACTCATTATATAGGTTGAAAAAATGAATTAAAGAAATAAATATAAATAGAAAATGAAAATGTAAAAATAAAATATTTAACCATAAAAATTTTGTGTGTTGTATAAGGATTAAAGTTACTAGGTTGGGCCACTAAATAAAGAGTTTTGGGTTTGGTTGCGGCTGCAAAGCTTCCTACTACTAGGATAGAGATTCTAATCTTATTCGCTCCTCTCCAGAGATTGAACTTAGCTTCGTTCTTTGGGTCGAGACTTAAAAATTAAAATTTACTTATAAAAAATTTTTAACATTTAATGCACTTAATAATTATAGCGGAAGATAAATATTATGGGTTAAACGTTGGTCAATTATCAAGCAATGTGCAAATTATGAATTGCTAAAAAAATTATACGACTATGATAAACGACAATTTTATAAGTACATACAAGTAATTTGCATGTAAATATTATATAATCTTATATATTTATACTATTTTATAACCTTATAAATAATAAAATTTATATATTAAATAGTCAAAAACTACAAAAAAAATATATAAAAACAGATATTAACAATAATAGTAAATAAATAAATATCATATTATTACTGAATAGCATATTGTAGAGAATATAATTTCATATTGTCTTAAATAATTTTATAGTATTTAAATAATATTCTTCTTTTGCATTGCACCCCGTGCATCGCACGGGTATCAACACTATTGTGGAGAAGCTTTCCTTATTTAGTAACCAATAATTTTTTTGGCTGGAAACCCAACTATAATAAGTAAATGTCAAACTTTAAATATATATATATATATATATATATATATATATTTAGTTATAAAATTTGATGGGTCAAACCTTTAAACGAGATTCAATTCGTTAATTTAAAATCCATCCACTTAAATTCAAATGAGTTTACGAATTTGTGCATTCTGCAAAAATTAGCTCTAGTTTATATATTAATTAAAAAAAATTGAAATTTAATAGGCATGATAAAAAATGTATATCATATAAAAAATATAAGATAACGATGGTGATGAAAATATGTTCTAATGAAAATACAATGGTGATGACAATGACGACGATAAAAATAATAAGATAATAGTTACAAAAGATAACTGATAACATAGAAGTAACAAAATCGAATGGAAGGAAAAAAAAGTGAGGAATTTAATGCATTACCTTCCGTAAGTCACGATTCCTATATAAGACCACACTTGTTCCTTTAGGAGCCAGCCCATACTTGTGTACATCCACAGATATAGATGTTACTCCCTTAACAGAGAAATCAAACGATGGTATGGTGTATCTAGGAAACAAATGTTAGACTTCATCAATAAACTGATTTGCAAAAGGATAACTAAAAACATAAAGTTCATGGAGTTATTCTAGCGCCTAAAAGTTGACCAACAAGAGCCTACCTGTAATAATATTTGATGAATAAATATTTCTCATAATTAGAAAAATATAGAAAGTGTAACGCATATATGATGGTAGCTTGCAAACAGGCAACAAAGAATCCAATGGTTGAGATCCCACAAAGCCAACCTCAGGGAGACCTTCAGGCCATGGCAGAGGACATGATAGGGCACGTGGTTGTGGTTGTTAGATTTGTCTGCAGTTTTAATAGTTGGAACCTTCAGGAATTTAGTCCCCTATTGTAAAAGGTTTTATTATGAAAGTCTGGGTGTGTTTGGACAGTAGTGTTATCACGGCATATCTTTTTAGTGCACCTCTGTACAAAGGTTTCCTAAAATCTTGCAGCTTTTATTGAACTAAAAAAGGGTCGGGCAGGAGTGGAGGGGATACACTACTACATTCACAAATTCTGAAATGCAAGCAGAATACATTACTTCCGAAAATCTTTCAAACTTCTAAATTAAACATACCCAAGCTTACGAGCAAACGGCAAAACAAATCCACCAAGGCAAAGGTCGACATGCAGACAAATCCCATAAGTGGAAGCTAACTCACCAAGATCCTATAGAAAAAATTAATTAAACAATTGTTTAGAACAAAAGGCGTCTCAAAAGAATAGTAAAATAATCATTTAATGTTGCATGCCTCAATGGGGTCAATAATTCCATGAGGGAAGCCAGGTGCTGATCCAACAATCTGCAAAGCATTTGGAGATAGCAACTCAATTTTACAATTGCAATTGAATGGAAAACTAGTAAAAAATTTCTTCAGATAAGAGTGCCAAAAGATGGAATCGCGTGATGAAATTTCTCCAATCACATCAAGTTAAAATAGCATGATGAAATCGCCAACACAATATGAAGACATGAAATGCAAATATATAATATTGTCATACTGAAATCATTAATAAGTTCTAGCATGACCAAAACCCGATACAGAATAATGTTACTTTGACAATGTATTTGACATAATTCTTGACATAATGATGTTTAAGTATTTTGAGTTTTTGAAATTAAACTTAATGTGATATGTAAAATTGTAATATCCTGCCAAGTACGTATTATGTCAAAGTTTATGTCAACCATTACGTTTGTGTAGCATGTTTCCCCAATACATATCATCAACACTTAACAAGATGAAAAATTGGGGCCTCAAGTCTAACCAATATTGTTTTCCTGTTTATATGTTGTCTGATCGCTTTAACATCAGCCCGAAAATCTTGGTCCACAGGTACACGCCACAATTTTATTCTGAAATATTGTGCAGCCTTGTCATAAGCTGAATGAGCTGAAACCGGTATAATCCTGTTTTCAGAACAATAAATAAATCATGTCATCTTTCAGATAAACAAAACTAGAATACAAGTGTGACCAAAAGTTGACTAACATTTCAGGACTAGTTATCCCTTTCATAGCTTTCATATAGTCACGTGATGTTTTCACTGCCAGCAGTATACTTTCTGTCCCTCCTGACGTCATATTTCCACACACTTGTCTGTCTGAAGAACTTTCCTTACCTCCAAGTAATGAAGCTGTCATCTTCACGACTTCTGCCTCAAATCTTACGACACTTGGGAAAACATCGAGATGCAGAGGATTAGTATGTGCAAACCTGGAAGGACAATTAAAAACTTATTAAGCTACGCATAGGAAAACAAACATAACATAATCTTATTAAAGATTCACAAATAGAAAATGAAACATCACTAGAATTGGTATAGACTATCAAGGAAAATTAGAATTGCTGGTTAGAATAAATGTACACTTTAGATTTTCTTACTAACATTGAGTATGCCTCATTAACCACAGAAAAGTGCCCTTCCTTTTCATTTCCTGCAATATAGCTAAACAAAACACATAAAACTTTAATAACTCAAATCATTAAAATGCAGCCTAACAAAGAGATTTGCAGAAAATATATGTTAATACACGTACACGGTACCAGAGCATTTTCCCTGCCACGCCACATCCTTTTCTTTATCATCATTCATCTTATTGATGACCTCAACTCCCAAACCTGCCATGGGCAACTCAGTCCTCCAACCATCTCTATCTGATTTACCAGACCCATGTAACTTATCCACAACCTACCGACAAAAACAACTTATTTTGGTGATCTGAGTTAATTAATTCAACTGATAAGAAAACAAATGGAACTGAGATAAATTTCAGAAAGTAATTGATTATAATCAGTTCTTACAAGCAATAGATAGGGCAGTGAGGCTTTTCTATTTGAGTAACATTTCGGTTCAAGTAAAAACAAGAGCAGGCAGCAGTATGAAGGAGGGTAGATACTAGCTTCAGTTTTAAACTCATTCCAACTTTAATTAATATGTATTTGTTTAAAAGATTGCAGAACGCCTATAGAGCTTCTAAATACTGTTCTGATGCTTTTTACTGTTTCTTTTTTTCTTTTCCTTTTTTTTTTGGGAGGGCAGGAATTTTATGATTTTTACTTTATTATTTAAAATTGTATGTCAAGAAACAACTGTAAAATGTATGTGAATAAAATAAATTCTACTTGGGAGGAAGAAAATTGACTATGCACTTGATCATAAAGTAGACAAGGAGAAAATGCTCTTAAGTACTGAAAGA